AAGCACTGATGCACAGTACGAGCCGTTTGCCAGACTGTCATGTCTGCCGTTTAAATAGCAAAAGCACAAATTCACCAAAACAAAAAAAGGCAGGCTGGGTTTCAAAGATTTCTTGCCTCAAACTTCTGTTTTTGATTCAGGCTTGTCCATTCAAGCTTCGGTGAGGAAGCCCTTACCCCACAGTGCAGCCGCAACTCCAATGCAAAGCAACACTGTCCTTTTTTTTTTTTTTTTAAAGAGAAAGTTTTTCTCTGCTTCTCAAAAAAAGACACCATATCCCAGAGTGCCCTACTCAAACAGTGTATTTCAGAGAGAATGAGTCTTGAAGGGTCCTCTGAGGAGTCTTAACATCCTTCTGTGTTTTGAGTCTGTGGTGGTCAACCACACTTCAGTTGTGTCTGGGTCTTCCTTTCTTCATGCGAGCGGCTTTAGGTTTGGGGATGTACTGGTTGTTGGCCTGGTGCTCGAGTTCCCTGCTGAAGTACTGGATAGTTTTGTTCAAGCCTTCCTCCAGGGGCACCTGTCAACGCAGCACACAACACACTGACGATACACTGACAGGATAACAGAGATATTAGCTGTTAATATATAAGGCAGTCATGTTGTCTACTGTTAATGATGAGTTACTGATGGAGGCTGCTCTCCAAAGACAGCTGAACAATGTAATGCTTTTACTCATTTAGTTCACCAATGATGACGGCTTCAAATGTTCATTATCATGACAAGACCCTGATCAGTTGGTGTTACTGGTTGCAGCACTGTTGCAGTAGGTTTGCAGTGTGTGAGAAAGTGCGTCCCACATACCACCGGCTCCCAGCCGAGCATCATCTTGGCTTTCCGGATGTCTGGTCTTCTCCTCTGTGGGTCATCCTGTGCCTCTGGAAGGAACTGGATCTGACTTCGGCTCACTGCGTGTGTGTGTTCATGGACAGTCACAAGTATACAGAGAGAAGGACACACGGTTATTCTCCTTACTTCTGCTTTAACACTGCTGATGAGATGAGTCACTGCAGACTGATCCCTCTGTGTCACAATGTGTAGATGCACTAACTCTACTACTGGAGCTAATGTTCAAAAATGTGCCTACATGTTCTGGCTATGGAGATGCCAGATTAAACCACCACAGCTGTGATTGTTCAGTTAAGCTGCTTTCTTTTTCTCCGACATGTTTCTGATGTTGGTAGAGATTATTCATTAGAGTAGTATAAACAGTATAATAAACAAAACGTACAGCCTGATAACATAGGACACAACAATAAAGGTGTTAAATGCTACACTAGGAAATGGATCCATTTCTATGCCAGGACTATTATGACACAGAAGCATAACTCCGCCTTAAAGGAACAGTGTGTAGAATTTACCTATGAATATTTATTACAAAAGTAAAGTGGGAGAGGGAGAGTAAGAGATAAGCAGGCAAGATTGCAATGTATGGCAAAGGTCAAGAGTTTGTAAAGATTAATAGAATGAAAGTATCTTGACGACTGACCGACGAGACTTTTGATGAGTCGAGCAAACTCCAATATGGTGTGTTCTTCTGGGTTCCCCTGCAAATAGATTTCATGAACTTCGGTCACATCAGTGTCAACAGGAATTGTTTGCCTATATGGAATTTGTTTTCTATTTCAAATGTGTCAAACAGCTGAGTATGATGAACTCACCAGATTGACTGGACTGCTGATGTTGCTGTTCATCAACAACACAAGGCCGTTCACCAGATCGCTGAACAACAAATTAGACACAAAAGCAGAAGAGAGATTTAAATACATTTTAAAATTCACTTGGAAGCTTCGCTTAGTATGAGAGCCGGAACCTTCCCCACAGAGATGTGTTTAAGAGAACATTATGGACCGTATATTCTATGTATAACATATTAGAAATTTACTGGCTGCATTGTTTCTACATTGCTTTTGTGTTTAGCACATCATCATAGTGGAACAAAACATACCAAGGCCAGGTGAGGCAGGTCAGCTTCACCATGCAGACTCTTTTTTTTTTTTTTCCAGCTCAACACTATAAACCCTCTTACATTTTCTTACAATGTTGCTAATTAGAAAACTTAACGGTTTATTTTCCAATTGTGTCATGCATATATAACTATACCCAGTCGGCCTGGGCTTACATCGCACCACAAATGAATATAAACCACAACGATAATTCAAGGGCATACATACACCACTACAAGAGGCAAACAGGGCTAAGAGTCTGCAACCATGCCAGGTGCTCAGTGGAGCTGTACAAATGTTCACCTTAGTTTAAAATGGTAGCATGCTAACATTTGCTTATTAATACTAACAAAATATAGCTAAGGCAGATGAACTGGCATTAGTTTAGTGGGTATTTGGACATAAACAACAGTATTGGACACATTAAACCAAGAGATCACCAAAGTTATTGCAATTCATTATAAATTGGAACATGAATGTCTCTAAATTTCTATTGAAATGCATCCAATACTTAAGACTGACAGCAAAAAGTGTAAACCTCATGTTGGTGCAGTCAGAAGATCATGAAAGCCAGTAAGACTCATCTTCTGGGGACCACAAGTGTACAAATGCCTGTCATCCTTAGAGTCATGTTAGTAGCATGGTAGCAATAATAACTATGAAATCATTTTCATAATTTTTTGTTTTTAGACCTTCATTTTTACAACAACATTTATAAATAACTGATGATACATATACCCCATAATTATAGCCTGGTGGAGAAATCTAAATAAACACTAATTAAATATGCCATCTGGCCTTATTTTCCCAGCGTTTGAACCACATGTGGCCCACACAGATACACACACACACAATTCATTAGTACAATTCTGTCAATATAAATTAGACCTTGACATTAGCAGGCACATGCAAACAGAGATAATGATGTGATGGGCTACCTCACCTACCACAGATCAGGGAATAGTGGTTGCAGGTTTACTATAAAAAATATCATCTTAAGCACTGCACAATATCAGTCAGCTCTACATTCTCCCAAATGTTAAATTTGCATTCATGCATTCATACATGAAATACTCATATTTGTTTTGTCCATCCCATTCATATCTGTGAGGTAACACCTCTCTTTTTTCAAAATGATCATAAAGTAAAATACTCCATAAAACATTTGAACAAAAACTGAACATTATGACCTTCATAATCATTAATAGTATTTATTACATGGCTGTATTAGACCGTATGTATGCATACAAACACGAGAGCAAAAATGTTTAATACAAATAAGTAGTAAAAGGGATAGTTTAAAATGATGGATTCTAGCATGACAGTTCTGTCATGTTGTAATCTTGTCTGTTCAGAAGATTTTGTAGCATCTCAATTCATCTATTTTAGTTAAGGTGAATGCATCCTAATAAACAAAATTTGCAAGGCTTTTTTTGTTTTGTTTACATCCTTGTTTGTTTATATGCTTGATAACAGTCTTCTTCCTCACTGCCTTGGCACATTGCTATGTTTGTCCATCAAGGGAATATTTTGAAATCATCATGACAAAACAAAACAACTAACACACTCATAAAAACTCTAATAGCTAACATCTTTAACATTTCATAGGGCTCCTTTAGGATTACATGCCAAAGAGTTACAGGCAGGCTGAACTGTTCTGCCTGCCTAGTTTCCACCATGTCTCTAACCTGGACAAACCATCAACAATGGCAGTTCTAAGGGGTCAATAGATTTATGGTGTAAATAACTGACTGACTTTTCATCAGAGAGAAACCATTATACCTCTTCTAGTTCTAGCCAAAGGCTGAATCACCTTTTCTCTCCAACATACCTCACTTGTCAATATTCTTGACCTATCACAGGTAAAGGAACATTGATTCTAGTGCAACCAACATCCATTAAATAAGAAGAGCAGAAATCAGGCCCTGAAGGCCAGAGTGAAAATCAACTTCTCTCATCTTCCCAATGTAATATAACTTATTACTCTGCCTCTCTCAGCATTACTCACAAAAGTGACAGAACAGCAGCACTAAAGAAGGGGGATGAAAAATATATAATTATGGGAAACTCGTTTTAACATTAGACTATTAGACTAGATCTATTTAACTGATGTATTCACGTTACCACATGTCTCATTTCACTGTAACACTGGGTATCTCAGTGAAAAAATGTCACATGAAGTCACTGTAAACACTACTGCATAAAAGTCCACAACATACAGGAGGCTCTATTCTATATATCTATATCTATATTACTCATGAAGTGAATGGGTTTAGAGAAGGACTTGTTGCAGTAGAATAAGCTTGCTGCAAAGCATTTCTAACACCTCTCCAGCTAGTGTTAGTGTGTGAGACCTGTGACAACCTCTCTCCTCCTTTTCTTGCTGTGGCGCTTGATGGACAGAAACTGGAAGACCACATGCTGAAGACTGGCTTTGGAATGGCTGGGAAACAACAACGATGTAAGGGAAACTGGGCCAGGATCAGTTGAGTAATGATGAAGCTAAAAACAATGACCCCTGTCTGGCTTGTGTGAATATTCTCATCACATTTAGAGAACTGTAGATTGTAGACGCCAGGAACGTTAATGACTCATAGTTGCCAGAACATCCATTCAATTTCTAATTCCTACAGCTGTTTTTGTAAGCTTTATACAGAGGAGCAATTAAAGGAATCCTAAAAGGAAGAGATGTCCAAGAGAGCATTTTGTTTTTTCTTTTGTCAATCTGGCATCCGAACAGATTTGTCTTTTCAACCAAGGCATCAATATGCAGTTAATGGTGAGAATGCATGAAACAGAAAATTAGCTGTTTTAAACAAAGACAAACAATTACGCCAAGGTCACCAGCAACTCATTCAAGTACACTAGAGGGGAAGATAGCAAGAATGGCAACTATATTGACTGACGCTCAAAACAACAACATCATCTGTCTTTCTAGGAGCTAGCTGGTTTTCAAATTGATATGTTAGTATGCATTAATCACTTGTTTTGCCAAAGTGTGAGTGGGTTGTAATGTTTTATGAATTGATAAGCTTGTACAGATTGTATTACTAACAGAATGTAGCCCTTCCACATGTAGGATGATATAACTGAGCCTAGCTGAATTGGGTGAGTAATGACAGCATAGGGAGTTGGGAGGAATCTGTAGTTGATATGAAAAGCAAAAGATTGTCCACATAGAGGGACACTTGACGTTCGACTCCCTTCCTCCAAATCCCGGAAGTATCCTTGCAACTACGGGAATGCAATTTGTAGTGGCTCTATGGCCAGATCAAAAGGTAATGCAGGTAATGGGCTTAAAGGGTATGAGTTCTCCATAGGAGGCTGAAAGGTTGTGACTGTTTTGAGCTGATGAGGACTGAAGCAGTAGGACACAAATATAAACATTTTCCACGTGATAAAACTTCAAAGTCGATTTTTTGTAAAAGTGCAAATAAGCAGGCTGCATGAAAACTTGAAACAACACATTGCAATAGGAACAACAAGTGTAAAATATGTGACACAAAATTCTAGGGAAAACAATATCTATTCCTCCAGCCCTGTATAAAGGGCAATCCACACATTTCTGAAGAGTTTTTAACATCAGTCACTATACATCACAGGAAAGGTTAGCTGCCTTTTCTACAAATTTATCAGTTCATTTTCTTCTGGTGCCCTCAATGAAGCTAAATCTCTGTACAAAGCTGTTCATATCACACAAATCTTGACTTATGCTGTCAATATAGTGTGTTTTGAATTGATTTGGGGAAGCATGTCACCGTATGGTACATAAGAGACATATGACAGGGCCCTCACAATTGATCAAAACCCCCAGTTTCACTATCAGCTATCCATGGAGAGGAACAAAGGGCAGTTTTTTTTGCCCTTGAATGTCTGACTCTGAAAGTCCTGCATGTTTTATATTTGTCGTTAATTAATTTGCTGAGATATGCCTTTCATATTTTTCTCTGTTGATCAGTCAGAAGAAAAAAAATCCCAGTTACATAAAAATAATAAGTCCATGTGTTTCCATGTGAGAAGACTAATAATAAAGGTCTAATTACATTAAAGTCATTAAAAATGATTAACAGCAAAGTGTAATCGAATGCTACTGATTATTAAAATTTGACAGACAATGAGCAGATATGACTGTGGGGAAGGGAGGCTACGGATGTGAGTTTACCAGAGTAATTTCAGGTTTTCACTTAAAGGAGAGTTTACGCGAAGACCTTGGCCTTTCACTGCTTACACAACACTAAAGTCATATAGGGCAGCAGGTGAATGTTTCGAAGAGATATGAGAGCTTCAAATACTCTGTGTCTTTGATCTCTCTTCTTCAAACTGATCAAATTAATCTCATTATCACCTGCACAGAAACCAATACTCCTTTAACCTGGCAGATATACAAACTGTATTTCTGCTCTTCCAGGGAGAAATGAATGCGCATGTTAATGATGTTAATTTAATAAATATCATGGTGGTATTTACTAATAAACTCCAAAGTCCAATACAAAGCAGTATCCCTCCACCTTGTGGCAAATGTCCATGAGAGTCCATGAAAGCATCAACATCCACACATACCTCTGAGGTCTGTCTCAGTGGCCACTAATTTAATTAAATATGTATAGGTAACTACTAACACTACATATACTATTTAATGACACTGCACTTTGATTGTTATCATTTATGTAATATTAACATGATTCATTCATAGTAAATGTATTGTTACATTGTTCCCTAAATGGTGGGTAGAGAACATTTTCTGTGACAAATATTTTGGTCCAGATTGAAGAGAAGAATGAAGCATTGCAGTGACATAACAACAGGTTTAATTTAGTAAACTTACCTTACATACTGAAAGGCTCTTGTTTGGGAACCACTACCATACACCTAGAACAACAGAAAACTGATTATCTTTCTGCATGATGCACATACCAAAGGTGAGTATCTGTTACCATGTGTCAAAAAATACATTTCTACTCAGCCTACTTAAAAAATTAGCACATTGCAAGGTTTTCTTTTTATTATTAGCAAGTGGAATTGGTGTCTTTTGGTATTTCAAAAAATATTCCATATAAGTCAAAATATGAAGCAGACTTGCATCCAGATTAGGGACACTGAAGTGTCTGACTCATTAGTTAAAATCATGTTTAAGGTTTTTTTATATTCTCTTATATGATTTAAGAAAAATACAAAAACAGTAATCAATCACCACCTCTCTGATGCCAATTCAGTGTGCACATCTTTACTAGTACTGAAAAAAAAAAAACAGCCTAAAGCAGGTTTGTCTCAAGCATCTAATAAATGAACATTAACAGTACAAAACTTAAAATGCGTACAGTTAGAGGTTCTCCCTGTAGAGCCTGCAGGATGAAGTTACTGACAACCCGTCCATCATTCATGTGCATTCGGGAACCAAATGTGTTGAAGATCCTTGCCACCCTCACCTCTACTCCTTCCTGTGAGTAAAGAAACAAGACAGTGGGTGACTCATTACTCATTTCTGAACTGTGTTTTTCCTTGATTTTACAGTTTATATTTTTGCATCCTGCATTTTTCCTGTAAATAATGCTGCATATATACAGTATGTATGTATATTTTGTAAAAAATAAAATATATAGCATAGTTTTTTCTTTAGGTAAAATGTGAATTAGTATTAGTATTTCTGCACAATAATTAGTCATTTGTACCCTTGGAATACTATGTATGAATAAATTAATAACTCAGAAAATAAAAGAAATCTGGATGACCTCAAATCAATTATTACAAGTCGAGATAAATAAGTTGATTTTTACAGTGTCCCACACAGCGTACTGCCTGGAGCCCCCTCATGATCAAATATTAGCAGTATGTCCGATATTCCTGCTGTTTGCCATCAAAATATACCAGACACATATCTGACATGGATGCCACTTATATTATATAGCTTAAAACAAGGCTGTGAACACATGTCAATCAGCCATCTCTGACAAGGTTTAACTTCTTAACTTTTTATTTTTAAGCCTACCCTATCAAATCTTAATACAAGTGGTGCATTATTCAGTAGGCCAGCTACAGTATATAGTAAACATGCAGTAACATATTAAGCCCATTGCCAGATATTTCTTCATCACCCATTTCTTGGCAAAACCAACAACCAATTTATTATTATCAGTTCTCTGACCTGATTTCTAGGTATAGCTAAATATGTTATGTCTTCCTCTTGGGATGTTGTACACTTCCACCTACACATGAGGCAATATGAACACTTATTGGTACAATTATTCTGGCCAAAATAATTGCGATTCACAATATTATCCCAATTATCATCAAAATATACTTAAATGTGTTAAAATGGCACTACAATATACTAGAATCACTTTACTTTACATTTTGTTAAGAAACAACACCCGAGACAGTAACCTCATCTCCTTGTTGTTATTTAGTTTTGAATCCATAGTATTTCCACACTACCGGTTTAATGTTTTACTGCGTGGGATTACAATGAGCAAGTAGAGCCTTCAACCATGGTGACAGGTATCTAGGCAGTTTGGACTGACTAGAAAGATGCGAGCCTTGTGGCAATTGAAAATACACGTGAGTATGACACTAGACTCTCTTTACACACTCCAACATTTTTCAATAAAAAATACCACATATGTGATGTAGGTCGTAAAATGAATAAAAACATGAAAATTATGTAGAACTGTCCCTTGAGCATGTGGAACATGAAATTCAATGGACACAACCTGCAAATATATTCAGTAGAAGAACAAGGACACAATGAGGATGTGTGTGTGTGTGTGCATATATCCCCTGTAAATGTAAAAGATGGAGTGTAACCTAATTAAACAACAAAACTCTGATTATTAAGAGGAATCAACTGAAAGCGGTATTAAAAAAGTCAGTTTGAATAAAAAAAAAAAATTAAACTCAAACGTTCTTCAGCAATTATAATACTATTGCTCGCCACTACTTTTATTTAACAGAGGAATGTGTGGTGCTGTTTTCCATTTAAATCCTGTACATCTGTGTTATAGTGTCTAATGATCTGTGACTGGTTATATATTGCAATAGGCAACCACATTGACTTAGGGTCAATAAATTCTTAATATTCTCTCTCTCTCTCTCTCTTTTATTTTATATTTTTTGTGCCTGTGAGGTTTAAATGGAAATATGTGGAAAGAGATATGAACAAGAAAGCCATGATTGTAGAAACAATATACTGAGAGTTATTTTCTGGATATTTCTGTATTAGTTCTGAGAAAATCTCTTCTGGATTCTCTGAGCTTACTTTCCAATGTTGAAATAAACTTCAATTGGTTCCATAAGGGATTTGAATGGTTTTGGATTTGATTTGATACTGAACAGATTTTTTTATTCTTTATAAAAAGATATCAAATAGCTTAGCTAGCTCTAAAAACGAACTGTCTGTCATTAGCAATCCACTAGTGAAAATAAATGTATTTGTGAAGCACAATGCACCCTTGTCCTTTATTGCATTCCAATAACTAAATAATTCTAAGGCATCTTATTAAAATCAGTATGCCCCTCTCTCATGCCGATACTGTATACTGAATGTTTCAACCAAATTAGATTAAAGTGGAAAACATTCAAGTATAGTCTGTGGTTGTGTTTTAAACCCGTGTATATGTATCCGTGCACAAGTCAAAGAATGTCATTAATGAAAACTAATGAGAAAATATGTGCAGCCTGTCCACTTCCCCTGGCTTGATGTTGAATGTTGGCAGGCGGTTCTGATGCACAGAATAATGTGATTTGAAGCGACACATTATAAGACAAAACAACTCCATAGTTATCAGTTTCAGGAAGTAACACCACCAGCATCAGTTAAAACACTAGTGCTAACATTTGCTACATTAGCTAGCTGTGTTGGTTCAATGGTCTTCTTGCTGTCAAATGAAACAGCCCTCTGCTGTGCTTAATTAAATCTGATGTGTTACATGTTTTTGAAGCACGTACATTTGCACATATACCGACAGTCACTGTTTTATCAAGAGAAGCTCTGTTTGGAAGAAAAAAAAGGCTTATTGTTTTTCCTGTACACCTGCCACGTGAAACCTTGACAGCCATTCACCAGAGTAGATCACACAAACACGATCGTACATATATACACACACTCACAACACAGGTATCTGCTGCTCTTCACTCCCTAGAGGTTATAGATCTCCTATACTAGTGTTACCTAAGTTTAGTTTATTTGTAACTTGAGGCCCCTCAATCATATGAAACAGTGGTTTAAACATAGCAGTGTATGCTTGTCTTAATCATCATAAAAAACTGGTCAAATGCATCATATCAACTTGCAATCAGAAGTCAACTTCCACAGTTTTCCATGTGCTTAATGTTTGCCATCTGTCTGGGGAGCAGGTAACACATGCTCTTTCATCCACTGCATAACCTACACTCATCGGTTTTTAAATGTTAATGCATTTTGATTACATGACCGGTAGTAGATTCAATGTGTGATATTCTTGTCCCTGTGCATAAATGACTGACAGTTGGATATTAAAAGCTGTCCATTTCCAAGAATTCTCCCAGTAGGTGTGAAAAAAAATAATGAGCAGCTGAGGAGGAGCAGGAGACGAGGCAGATAAATAAATATCACCTGCCTGAGGGAAAGGCAAGAGAAGTTAATCAAATCTGATCATCAAAGGCTGGTGTCAATCAAGTCATAACAGGAAAAAATCTAAAAGTCTCAACAACATTAGGATGTCTTAGGAAACACATTTTCAAGAGCTTTTTACTGATATCACGCTTGAAGTATGTTGTGAATTTTTCTTCATTTTTTTTGTATTTGTATTTTGTTTTACTGTTCAAGCCTGTTGAAATAAGGGGCACGGTTACACATCCTATTTTAGTATTCTGATAAAATAAATATATTTTCTTGTTAATAACATTTTATAGATCTAGAACAAAACAGGTGTTGATCAAAAAGGTTCACTTCAGATACTGGTGGCAATTTTCAATCCTAACATCCATAAATTCCTCTCTATTCAACCTCAGTCTTGGACATGTGTGCAGTACTACATTTTATATTATTATATTACAATCAAGAAATCCTAGAAATCAACCACAATTTGTTTTTGCACAAAGAATTATAGAGGTTTTGTATAACACCTACTGATAAAATATAGCAGAGATTATCACATTTGCAAGACTAACAAAAACATTGACAGAGCAGTGACAGTTTACCAGTCAACAGTTTTTGAGAAAAAGTGGAATTATTAAACTATTTTTCTTTATTTTTATTTGTAATTGTAGTTTTTGCTGATGGCTACATTTGCAGTCTTGTATATATATCAATGTTTTTAATTTGTAAGATTAGTACTGTTGAGTTACACTGATGATACCTGTTTCATGTAGGCATAACACATAGTCTCTGCTACACGTTTCCCCTCATCATAGCATGCTCGAGGACCAATTGGGTTCACGTGCCCCCAGTACTCCTCATTTTGTGGGTGCACCTCTGGATCTGGAACACAAACATTTTAGAAACATTTCAGCCACATTTTTAGATGTCATTGTTCTGCACAGACGACGTTGATTTGGAGGAGCATTCTTCCCATCTTTCAGAAGGACGTCTGCTACGGTTTAAACACTCAACAGACACAAACAACCCCAATTCGTACAATACTCTAATGGATCACTGAGCTGGCACACTAGGTTCAATTATGTATATTGATTGGTTTTCAGGATAAAGCTCTCTTCTGTCATCTCTAACTCTCTCTGGGATTTTTTCGCACAAATATTTCATTTTATGCTGTCAGACCAGCGGGAGTCTAGAAAGTAATTTATCATACATGCTGCCTCTAAAACAAGGATAACCATTCATGTTGTGCTGCTGAATTGAGACCTGCAAAGAGCCTTTTAAAATTATTAAGAAATATAGTGTTTGTTATTTTAGTATTGATTGATAATCAGTGTGTGAAAACAGACTCTTGGGATGTGGTTACTTAAGTAGTTTTTTTTTTACAATGGTTCGTCAATATAAAATTCTGTTCAACTGGAAGTCCATACATTTTGCTCATTGGAAAGCAGAAGCAGCACCAATTCAAGCTTATCTATGTAGTCCACTTTAAACACTTAACATAAACGGGAGACATCTTTCTTACCTCCATAAACCTCGGAAGTAGAAGCCAGGAGAAGTCTGGCGCCCACACGTTTGGCCAGACCTTGGAACGAACATCACAGTGAGAAAAGGCTTCTTTTACAACTCAACTCACCCCAATTAGAAAGAAGTGAGAGCACATACTAAACCTGCTGCCAAGGTTGCACACACTATAAAACTTAAGTGCACTGACTTTTTGTCTTCCATTACAATGTCCTGAATATAATCTAATATGTTAATATTCATACAGAGCTTTGTCAGTACAATACAGATAAAGACCTTTCATTTCATGAAATACAGATTTCATTTTTCAACCATCCACAGGAGATGCTCTTTTCATCAGTTTAATTATCTTACAGTCTGACATAACCCGGACAATATAAAAATAAATTAGGTTTTGACTCTCATTAAAAGCAAAGTATTTTGCTGGATATTTAGACTGTAAGCAGTCGGCATGAATCAAAGTTTCAAACATGTAATGAGGGAGAATAAATAAGTATTGTAGTTTTTCTGTTCCCTCTTTTGTCCCACACTACAATTGAAAATTGTAGTGTGGGACAAACCAAATCTAAAAGCACTGAAGAATCTCACCTTGAAAACAGTTCATTCATTGCACTGTGTGGGTTACTTAACTGTTTTTGTTGTATTAGAAATGCATTGCTCTTAAGAAAGCGTAACAAGAAGCACATTTAATAAATCAAATTTACTGTGTTAATGGTATGGGATTAGTTCAGACTTGGAAGCGTTAACAAAAGTGGTAATTTCAAGGTTTATCCTAGTCAGCAGCATGGATTTAATGTACTCACCGAGCATGTTAAGCGTGCCAATAGTGTTGGTCTTGAGTGTTTTGATGGGATTGTACATGTAGTTGGGAGGAGAGGCCGGAGACGCCAGGTGATAGATCTGGTCCACTGAAAAGTGAAGGAGAAACATAAATCATGTCACCTTCAAACGCACATCTGTTTCAGTAAAATGTATTTCCTTTGTTTTGGTTTCTAGGTTTTTGGAACCTTGCACTTCATGCTTTTACTGATAGCCAGCCATAGACATCCAACTATGGTGCAGCATAACAGGGCTGGATATTTAAGGCTGGGAAGAAAAAAAAAGAAAAAAAAAAGCTGATAATAGATAATAGATTTAAGATGAAGGAGAGTATGAGTCGGACACATTTTTGTCTGTCTGTTGCAACTAATGTCCACTACTGAGGGAAGCAAATTATATCTATACTTATATGAATGAATTTTGATTTTGAATCAGCCACTCACATAAAACTGTTCATAGTTACAAATAAGCTTATATACACTAAGTCTTCAAAGCCTCAACCATCTATGATCCATTCACCACAGCTCATCATATTCCCATTTTCTCAACCACTTTATTCCATTCTCCCCTTTTCAAGCTGAATGCCATCACCTATTGAAGACTTGACCTCTTGATTCTTGACCCAAGACATTTTCACTTTCATAGCTTATTCCATCTTCTCTCTCAACATTTCTATGTATTGGAGTACCGTACTTCATTTCCTCCCTATAATACAGAGAAACTGACATCACTTCATGTCCCAAAGTTTTTTAAAGAAATTTATTATTTATTTATTATTAAGTTTTTATTTCTGTTTTCTTGTATCTACCAAATGCATAGACATAATTCTATGGACAGTCATGGGGCATCATGGAGTGACCAAGTAATTTTTTATGGAGTTGGCAAGTCCTTTCAAATTAAAAGGTCTAGTGTGTAAGATTTAGGAGGATCTTTTGCCAGAAACTGGATATAATATTTATAGGTATTATTGTAAAATCACCTGAAAGAATGGTTTTCATGACCTTAGAGCAGTTTTTAATCTAAAGACGCCACAGGTCGCCTTCCATGAAGTCTGCTATGTTGAACTGTTTCTACAGTAGCCCAGAACGGATAGGGCCTTTCGTGAGTTTCACTCCCATTGTAGTTTCTCCTACACACAGCTGTATTCAAATCGTGGCAATCTGCAACTTCACTGCTAGATGGCACTGAATCCTACACATTCAATTCTTTTTCAATGCAAACCTCTCCAAAAAATCGAATCTTCCCGTTTTAACATTTATTCAGTAACATCACAGCCGGTTGTATGGCACTCAAAGCAGTGAGAATTTATGATAATACAGGGAGGAACATAAGAGTGGTATATATTGCTATTGTGTTCACTAGAGTCATGGACTTGGCTTATCTTCTGGTGCCTGTGTAACCCTACGCATATTTACGATTTGATGCTGCTGCTGTTGTGTCTGCAGGCAATTGTGAGCACCCACTGATAAATTGTATTGTGAGGTGACCATATCAGAAACACAGACTGTTGTCCAGAGAGGATAAATAGAGAAATGGAAAGAGTGTCAAATCAGCTTTCTAACTGTAACTCTATTTCTATATTTAGCTTGTCCTGACAGCCTATAACAATAAGCAACAAATAAGCAGCAAATGTGCTGTGTCAAAGGCTACATAAAAGAAAGGCCATTAGTTACATTAGATAATACTGCTGTATGCACAGAGTCATTTCTACAATTGAATGACATTTAATGACTGCATTGGCAAACATTTTTCAGAAGGGCAGACCTGGCATTTGTTTTTCTTCTTTTCTGAGCTGAAGTACAATGGAGGAGCAACACTATGATATCAATGGAAAAATAATTGAGATCAATGAAGATATAGGCATTATGGATTACCCTCTCATGGTAAATAGGCAGCACATTATTAAAGGTGTTTGACACGATTATGCTCAAGTGAGTGGATTACTGACAGCTTTTAGCTGTAATTTAAATTCATAGCATCACACATACGAGAAAGCTGACTGGGAACAGGGGGTAGGAAGTTAAGAAAAACACCTGCTTTGCAAGCCAATTTCTCTGCCATGTTTGTGAGAAATGGTGTTCCTAATTGCTTTTTACTTGACTGTATGTGCAACCACAAATACTCCAGACAGGAAATGTAACACTGTGACAGCAAAGCAGCAGAGTGAAAGAAAATATCCTTAAAACTGTCAATAACTGCTTGGACTAAAAATAATCTAATTCCAAGTCTGACACTTAGCTGCCTCTATAAATACTATATACTACTAAATGCAATTATAGTATATACAGCATATACAATGTACAATACAATGAAATCCAACACCACCACTACATCTTCCAACATGACATAATCTCAACATAAACAGAACCCTGTAATCTTCACTACAGGATTTATTGCTATTGGATAACATTGAATATACTTTATTATATACTTATATTTATATTTTGCACTTGACTTGTTTAACCGTTACAGTGATAAAGTAGATAAAGTAGACATAGGCTACCAATTAAGCCTTTCAGTATAGGAAAGTAAAAATAAAATTAAAATAAAAATGATCTTGTCCCCATGAAATAATCCCTGTGTGTGGATAGGCACTGTCTTCTAATATTATGCCATCCGGTCGGTTGGTTTGGAGCTCTCTGTATAAAGCACTCTCT